GCACATAGGCTGCGGTAACGAGGGGGAGATAAAGAGGTAACAAGGGGGAGGGGCCAATCTGACAGGGTCAAACATCTCCCTTTCATCTCTTCAGAATGATTTATGAAAGTCAGGTTAAGTAAATGTTGATGAGAGATTACATAAATGTTTTGCTAATTATAGCCCTGTGTATATATCTAGTTTGGGGATTAGTACCTATGTACTAAAGAATTTAGTTGGGATATTGAGGTTTGATACCTTAAGGAAGATTAGCAACACAGTTTTATTTGGAGTTAACGAGGTTTGATATATGTTTAAGGAGGATAGCACCAGAGTTTCATTTGGAGGTATTGAGGTTTGATATGTTAAGGAAGATAGCACCACAGTTTTATTTCGAGTTAACATGGTTTGATATATGTTAAAGGAGGATAGCACCAGAGTTTCATTTGGAGGATAGTACAACAGTTTCATTTGGAGGTATTGAGGTTTGATATGTTAAGGAAGATAGCACTACAGTTTTATTTGGAGGTAATGAGGTTTGATATATGTTTAAGGAGGATAGCACCAGAGTTAATTAGCAGATGGTTAATGAGTTTTGATGGGAGTTATCTTTTTAAGGAGGATATCACCAGAGTTAGCGGAGAGTTAATGAGTTTAGTTTGGAGTATTAAGGAGGATAGAGCAGCAGAGTTTCATTCTGAGGTAACAAGGTTTGATACATGTTAACTCATTCACCCCTGAAATTTCATAATGAACTATTCCAACCTTTAAATTGGAAGAGTTCAAATGTGTCTTCACGGGTAAATGCATGAAGGAGGATAGCACCAGAAGTTACTTTACATTATTTTCCTCAAAATTGTGTTGCTAGCCTCATTTACATATTTGAACATAATTTCATCACTCCGTTGTGTCATCCTAGTCGACATGCAGACAAGAATATAATATAAGTGTGTTTTAGAGACTTTAAAAAGATTAGATAAAAGGCCAAATTGCCCTGCTGTTAAATGTTTATTGATTTACATCTTAACTTCATCCATGCCTGGAATACAGTGGTAAACTCTGAAGCAAGGATGTAACTTTATACATGTTGTGTCTGGTTAGAGACCTTGAATTGTTCTGTTGGAAGTATTGAACATTTTCTGTAGTGAAGTAAATGGCATGTGACAGACACAATACAGCTGGAAGTGGAATCTCAGGAAGTCTGACTCAATTCAGTAAATAGTGACACATCCAGGTTTGTGTATTCATTATACAGTGTTAATTGTTGAAAGTGCTTGAAATAAGTTCTCCTCTTTTCCACGTTTTAATTGCCATCAAAATAAAGTCTTTGCTGACTTTTGAGAAATGATTTCTATTTCATAGGCTATTTGGGATCTCCAAGAGACTATTGTAGTTCTGTTTACGCATGGGTACTTACAGTGGGACTCAACATTGTGGAAAAATTGACTACACTAGTAATATTACATACTAGAAGTTGAGAAACGTAGTCCTGTGGAAATGTTTTCTTAAAGAAACCTTGAAAGAAACAAACTTCAGGTGTTAAAAGAAATATAGAAGGTGACAAAGAGCCTGAGTTTTATTGATGTGGAATAAGATACTGTCCTGCAGTGACTGTTCATAGGCTCATTAGCACAGTATCATACATAACTGAAAATGCAGGTCAGACGCCATACCTTTTCAAATCCAATAGGGGAATCCAACCCTGGCCCCTTGGCGAAAGGCGAGTGCGTTATCAACTGCACCATACAACCACCCAAAGAGGACTAAGCGATTTAGAAGTCAATCCAACCCACCTCACTAAATCCCTTACCCCTATGGATGCAGGAAAATATTGCATAATACTTGCCGATCTTTTGCAGAAAGGATTATTTGGATCTGCATGTTTGTATCACTAAACCTATATTTCAACCAACATATAGCAAACTCATGTCTGTAAGAGTTGGGTTATAGTGTTTAAGATATAGGCTGCTTTACTGTGTGCTGAGGGCTTTTCCTGGTTGAATTGGGAAATGGCCTCTGATGTCAGATGGTAAATCCGTCAACTTATCTGCAGTCTATTGGGGAAAATCATCGATCTTACTGGTATTTATTGACTCGATGTGTGTCAATAAAAAACTATTAGCAACTTTCTAAAAAAAATCATATGCAAAGAGCCAGATTTCTGGCCTTTTTAACTCTTTCACCCCTATGTAACTTTAGTAGACTCTACCATACATTGATATGGATTAGTCCATTATGGTCTATAGCAGTGAAAGGATTAGTATCATTTCTTTTACACTATATTTTTTCGTTTAATTTCATATGTTAGATGTACGAAATAAAAGGATTTTTTCTTCTTCAAAATTTAAATTTAAAATTTTTGAGTGTTTTGATAAATCTATCAACATGTTCTTCTGCCAGTATTGGGTATGAGGGCCATTTTTTGGCCCGAGTGACATCACAGCACCCCTGCATTGATGCCCTTTGCCTCTTAATATGATCAGTGAGCTCGAGGATGGGACACTGGGGCAGGACAGGACTTTTAATTTCCCTATTATGTGAGTTTTGAGGATGGGCTCCAGGGCAGGATGTGCAGAGAACAGGGACTGTCAAGGGGTCAACAACTTTTATCCCTGATTATTGATATAACCCCAATTCATTGATAACATACTAAAATGCGGTGTTTGTTACCAAACCGTTTTACTGGTTCAGGTCAGGAAAATTTGCCAAGCCCTCAATATGTCATATTGTCTGCTAACATTGATACCTAGGTAATCATCTGGAGGTAAGTACTTGTCAATTCTAGATGGGGCTCACCCTTATTTCAAACCTTTTATATTTAAACTCTTTTTATTTAATGAATTTAATTTAATTTTCATATCTTGGTTAAAATTTCATTGATATCAAATCTATTGGAAATGAATGTTAATGCACGCTCAGCCATTTAGGTCAGTTATGGACTAGATACTGCAGCTAGGATGCATCTTTTATCATAAATAGAAAATGTTGTACAACAATTATATAATCTTGACCTTTGACCTTGGCCTCTATGACCTTTAGTTCCTAAGTGTGAGAGCTAGGCATCCATTTCTTTAATCTTGACCTTTGACCTCAGCATCTGTGACCTTGCTTTATATCTTAAGTGTGTGGGCATCTGTGTCTTTAACCTTGACTTTTGACCTCAGTCTCTGTGGCCTTGCTTTATTTCTTAAGTGTGGGAGCTTGGCGTCTGTCTTTAATCTTGACCTTTGACCTTTGACCTTGGCCTTTGTGACCTTGCTTTATATCTTAAGTGGGGGAGTTGGGCATTCCTGTCTTACAGATTCATTTCTTGCTGATTCTGAAAAAATTATCCTTCCTGTATTTCCAGTTGTAAAATTTAACCAACATTAAAGTGTGTTCAGATCTTTAGTGACATTTTTAGTGTCTGAACACATTGTAAACCCAGAAATTTCTGATATTTTCGTTGATTTTGTATCATACATTTGTTTCAGTGATTTATTGTAGAAATGTTGACCCTATTAATCACCCGTAAAGCTAATGGTAAAGAGTTTGCATTAAGATGTGTATTTTGCATTTCCCATGTCAAAAATCAATATTGTTGAGAAAATATTCTGATTATAATTCTAAACCATTATTGAAAATAAGTTTGGCCTTGATGTTTGAGAAATTAAAATTGTCACTTTTCACTCGATACATCCGTACACACAATTTGAAATCCACCATCATTTCTTTTGAATTCCTGTAAATTGTGTTTGCAACTGTGAAACGTGTCTAAAATGAATACTACAGGGATATTTCTATACAGAATTGGCGGTTATTGAATTATGATTTACATACGTATACAGTGGGACCTAGGTGAACATCAGGTTTCTGACTGATAAACAGATCTGTTTAGACAGATCTTGCTGTATGTTAGAGTCTTAACACAGACTTTTTCTCACGTCTGTTACAAAAAGTGTAAGGAGGTGAATACCAAGGGTTCAAGTCTTTGTAAGGTGTGCAACGTTATCAAGTAGTCGGCGAATAGTTGGGAGTTATTCACAGAAATCGTAAGAAGATTTGTACAATGCAATTTACTCCTTTATATGTGTGACAATACACTATCGATGGACATTAAACGAAATGAAAAAACATGTAAATGATATATTGTCGTATTTTGCCAAGCATGTCATAAGGTGCAGTTGGGTGGTAGTCAGAAGGACTCGGAGTTAACTGGTTACTGGGAGAAGCTGGATAGGAGTTAATCAAATGAAGCTTTAGTTATTAAGAGTTACTCAGGAAAAGCTGGAGTTTACTGGTAAAAATTCAATAGGAATTTTAATTATAACTACTTTGAAATACTCTTAAAAATACAAGCTGTTGTAATATTAATCAGGAGCAGCAGGAGTAGCCCAGTAACTCAAGAGGAGTTGTAATTATTAGTTACTCACGATCAGGAGCCACTGGAAATACTCAGATTGTAACCCTTCAGGAGCTGGAGTTGCTTATGAGCTGTTGGAGTTACTACGGAGAAGCTGGATTTGAGTTTTATGGAGAGCCTGAATTACTCAGAGGCTGGAGTTATAATTTATCAGGAGGATGAGTTGGGGTTAGAGTGATTTTTAGGAATAACTGGAATTACTTAGTTACTCAGAAGGAGCTATTCTGGAGGAGTTATAGCCACCCTGAAGGAGCTGGAGTTACTCAGAGTTATTCTGGTGGAGCTATAGCTACTCGGAAGGAGCTGGAGTTACTCAGATTTATTCTGGAGGAGCTATAGCTACTCTGAAGAGGCGGATTTACTCAGATTTATTCTGGAGGAGCTATAGCTACTCGGAAGGAGCTGGAGTTACTCAGAGTTATTCTGGAGGAGCTATAGCTACTCTGAAGGAGCTGGAGTTACTCAGAGTTATTATGGAGGAGCTATAATTACTCTTATGGAGCTGGTGTACATTACTCATGGTTTAGGTGATTCTGTTAATTGAGATCTGTCAATATAGTGTCAAGGTAAGAGAAGAAAAGCTGGGTGGATAAATATTTGTCAATACATCCCTGTATACACATCATGTGTAGTGGGTGTACATGTACATCCTTAAGTCTAGGGAGTGTTTAACAGGACGTATCAGGCTTTCATTCCATTAGATCATACTGTTACTCCCGTTGTCAAATTGAAAGAAGTTACCAGAAAAACAAGCGTAAATTTTATTGATAATTTTTTCTGAGTGGACTGATGATTTGATAGAACACATAGTGGATAGTGTAGAGATAACGTAACTTATCTCAGTGTATCTGTGATATAAATAGTCCAAAGATTGGGGCGACTGGTTTGATAGGGGAAGAGTTGGGCTATAGACAGACTGTGGTGAGGTGTAGTAGTAGTAATATTCTGTGGTGGAGCTCTCTACAACACCACACTCCACAGAAACACAAGGCAGCAGCTTATAGAGTGTGTGGGACGCCGAACGGCACAAACCAGGGCATCACCAAACGAAGAGGGATCACGAAAACACGTGTCTGTGCCACTTCTCACCGATCTCTTCAATTTTACTTAGCAGTTTATGTCTGCAGCACCACTTTCTGGGTATAAGACATGCATTGTTACAAGGCTTGATCATTTGATCTTCTTTACTGTATAATAGCACCACAGGAATTGTGCGTTTACCTGTGTCGGGAAACGTTCTGTGCCAATATTGGAAAGTATCTTCTTAAATACAACAGTTATTTAATTAATGCACAAGTTGTTGTATAAAATATTTGTTTATTTAAAAAAATATTTGTTTATTTATGTGGTGAATTATTCCAGGGCTTGAATCATTCCCGGATATTTCAGGAAGATTGGATAGTGAACTTTGTTGAAGGGTATCTTTATGTGTGTAGTTCAGTTCCAATTGTTGTGAAAAAGTTGTAAAGAAGTGCTATCAGCTGCTTATACAACAGTTCCATGTATTATTGATTGCTCCATATTTCGGAATTTATAGCAACATTTGTGAATTCATTGCAGGATTCATTTGTGAATTTATTGTGAAATTTTAATCTACAGTTGTGAAATCTGTAATAATTGTGAAATTCAAGTGTGAAGTTTAAAATACACCTGTGAATTTTGAATTTGAAATAGCCATTGGGAATTGTTTTCAAATTGAGGAAATTTGAAACCATTTGTGAATTTTAAAAAAAGGAAAAGGATTGGGATTTTAATTATACCGTCTATGTGATACCATTTATGTGGTCATGGTGAATTTAAAGAGTGGGGCTCCTGTTCAATATAAGGAAGTCCCGACACATGCTGCTGAAGATGGCGGAAGCAGTGGTGACGAAAATACTGCCTCAAACAATTTGACCGAAACAGTAACCGACCCTCTAACACAAAATGGTGATGTGGAAGCGCCATCGTCTCCGATCAAGGAAAAGTCTCCCACTGCTAGCCAGAAAGCTGGAAGTCCACCTGATAATAAAGCTTCAGGCAGCAGTCGATTTTTTGTCTCACCTGCAATTGTGATTTGTGATGAGACGGGTAACAACATCAGTAGTGCTGAGCCCTTGGTGGAGGAAACAAATAGCGACGGTGAGATTTACTCTTTCTAACAGTCTCTATTGATAAAATATACAGCTATCGTGGCTGTATACAGAAGGTGTATGCTGTACTGGAAACCCAATAGTGTCTATAACAAATATCTTGTTTTATATTATAAATTGATAAAATACGTAGATATCGTAGCTATATAAGTGGGTGTGTGATGTACTGGAGTATAAGATACATGGGCATTGTGTTATATATATATATACTTCACTATCTGGAATGGGACACAAAATATAATTATGATATTATAAATACTGGCTTATTTCAACTTAAAACCCAATAGTGTCTATAACAAATATCTTGTTTTATATTATAAATTGATAAAATACGTAGATATCGTAGCTATATAAGTGGGTGTGTGACGTACTGGAGTATAAGATACATGGGCATTGTGTTATATACTTCATTATCTGTAATGGGACATAATATATAATATTACAAATGCTGGCTTACTTAAACTTAAATCCCAATAGTGGCTATTACAAATGTCTTGTTTTAGGGTATAAATTGATAAAATAATAGATATTGTAGCTTTACAGAGGGTATATGTTGTACTAGAGTATAAGATACATGATATTGTGTAATATATATATATATATACCAATCTATCTGTATTGGAACACAATATATAATATTATAAATGCTGGTTTACTGTACTTGAAATCCAATAGTGACTATNGGGGTAATGTGTTGTATATATTTCATTATCTGTAATGGGATACTAGTTACCATAAAAGTATATAAATGGTGACTTACTTTACTGGAAACCATATAGTGACTATAACAAATATCTTCTTTTATAGTCTGTATTGACAAAATACTTCTATTCATATTGGTACACAATATGTTAATAATCTGTGAAACTTCCATATAATATTGCCAAACCCCTTTATAATGCCAAAATTTCTATGGACAAATGATGGCGTTATAATGGGGTTCATGGTAACCAATCAGTACTGTATTAATTAGCAAAATTTAATTTTCCCTGCAGTTCAAATTTAGATATGACTTCATAAGTCACAATTTTAGTAAAAATATTGCAAAAATAATACTTGTGTTAATATTAAACATATTAATACCAATGGAAATTGGTTATTTGATATGTTTGATTAATTTTTAATCAACACGATTAGCTGTTGACCGTATACAATACCATTTTATAGAATGCGCAACTATAGTTGTGACTAGCAGTGGTGGCCACAGACATACAGCGCAACTATAGTTGTGACTAGCAGTGGTGGCCACAGACATACAGCGCAACTATAGTTGTGACTAGCAGTCAAAGGTTTTCAATGATGGAAATCTAAAAGTAACAGTGAGATATTATCTTTTAGAGTCTGTATTGATACAGTATACAGATTTCATATACATGTAGGGGTGAAGTTGGGGTGAAGCGTAAGGTGGTTGGATGAGGTAGGGCACTGGGGAGAGATACTCGGTGTTTTCTCTAGGGTTGAAGAAAAGATAGGGCATTAATTGGCAGTGTTATAGAGGTGAAAAAACACAGGTATTTGATTTGGCATTATAAAGGGAGTTGGCGATAAATTGAGGGAAACTTCTAAAGGAATTCTGAAGAAAAAGAGAAAAGGGATATTGAAATGTGTTGGCAGTAAGTGAGGTGGCAAATAAAATAAAGGGCATTATATTGAGGTATATGTCAAAGTATCAATGGTACATTCCTACTGAATACCAAACAGTGACAGTAAGGTGGGGACTGTAAGGTGGGGGATTATATATGTCTGTACTAAATTAGATTGTTACTAAACGTCACGTATTGTCCATTATATGACGACATAATATAAATGTGTGCCGCCCCCCCCACTGAAGAATAATCTTAATGAAAAAATTGTAATGATGAAGACTTGCTAAAGATACGAAACTAGTCCGCCATAAAAAACATCCGTTTAAACTGGTGACGCCCGAGCTGTGTTGTGATTTCAACCCTCCTTATACTGCCGTATTCTATTCCCATCACCCTGCATACAATTTGGTATCTGCACTTGGAGCGGATCGCCCCACTGATTTACCCACCTATAACTTACACGACATTGGCTCTACTATTTCCATTAAATCACATGTTTAGGTGTATTCACTAGTTATACATTTAAATTAAATAAGTTGCACAGGAATAAATAACTGTCTAGAATGCTTTTTATCTCTGAATATTTAAATTCATGTCAATATTCCTATAAATTGATATGCTATTGATGTGCTAATTTTAAGGAAGCTTTATATTTTGTCCTCAAGGAGATGATGCAAGTTAAAATTATTTTAACTCATTCACCCCTAGTGAAGACACATTTGAACTCTTCCAATTCAAAGATTGGAAAAGTTCGTTATGAATTCTCAGGGGTGAATAAGTTTAACAAATTTGATTTTGGATGATTACGGATTGCAGTTTGCAGGATTTTTTTTAAAGAAAGTATATACAATATTCTCAACAATTTAAGGTGTAGGTGTTATTGCTATTGATTGAGATAGAAACGTGGTGCTCTGTATGAAACAGGTGTTTATATATTTGACCTTGTCTCGAGTGTCAAACGTGTCAGATACTACTTATACCGTAGTATGTATATGTGTGTAGATCACAGGTGTGAATCTGTATAGCTTACACCTGTAAATAACAATGTGTTTTAAATTATGTGAATTAAGGAGTATGTATTACATATGGGCTGTTTGTTCATCACATATATGAATTGGCATATGTGAATTTGTGAATTCAGTTGATGCATATATATGTTATTTGAAATATTTGGTGTATTGGGTAAAAAGACCTAATAATAGCTAAGGTGATTTAAAGACAGGGCTCCGTGTGTTACATGTATGTGTGTCTGCTGGAAGTGGTATGTTGGTATGTTTGCCTCTTTGCGATTATAAGGCTAATCTGATGTCGACTTTGGAGTGCTACCTCACTGAAATAGTATCACCACAGACACCTAGCACAGCATTCCGCTCAGTCACATTATACTGACAACGGGTGAACCAGTTCCGCTTCGTCACATTTTACTGACAACGGGTGAACCAGTACCGCTCAGTCACATTATACTGACAACGGGTGAACCAGTTCCGCTCAGTCACATTATATTGACAACAGGTGAACCAGTTCCGCTCAGTCACATTATACTGACAACGGGTGAACCAGTTCCGCTCAGTCACATAATACTGACAATGGGTGAACCAGTTCCGCTCAGTCACATTATACTCACAACGGGTGAACCAGTTCTTGCTCTTTCTCTTAATTCTGTTATTCAGCAGAAAATGAGGTGGTGCCGAGTATAAAGGTCAAGAATAGAAATAAAGTAAAGATAGTATATAAGGAAAAGATACAATCTCATCTGTTCAATAGGGTGTGTTATACACATTGTTGTCTCCAATGAGGCATTTAAGACTTATCTTGAGCCGTAATGGTACACAAGAAACTCTCTGGTATAAAAGCGATGGTTGGATTGCTCAACACCTGGTTCCTCCCCGTTAACCTGTCTCGTGTGGTGGTCTACTTAGCGTACTTAGCGTAGCCCTCAGGTTCAAACGCCTAAGTCAGTTATATAATTTTGATACAGAAATGATCAGTAGTATGGATTGACCTGAGACACATAGACAAGTTGGGACAGTCAGTCTCAGTTGGTACTCGTCCAATACACAGTTAATGTAACTATAATGAGAACGTTGAATACTAACATAGCTATCAATATATGTGACCATAGCTATCTATATATGTGATAATAGAACGAACGATTACTGGTTAGGTTGATCCCCTCGGACGATATCTATGATACTATAAGATCAATGAAAGGTCAAAAGCTGGAGTATCAACTATTACAGTACTGTAAGGTAAAACCAAGACGTGTTGTACTCTTTAATATGCTATTTTCATCATTATTTCCCCTAAAACAAGACAGTAAATTCAAAACATTTAATAATCCTTGTACCTCTCAAAATAAATGAATTATGTATTTGAAACTTTAATTTCCCTTCATACCTTTAAATTTGAAAAAAAACCCAAAAAAACCCCAACAACACCTTTTATGAAATAATGATAAAGATGAAATAAACACAATAGAATCTGCAGCAGTGTTCTGGTTGCATAAAAAAACCCAGCAGGGACAGACCAGGATTTGAACCCAGGACCTCCAATCATTATATTCTCGCTCTCAAACCAGCTGAGCTTCCTGGTCAGTGGTAATGCCCCTTGCTCAGGAGGAGGTTACTCTATGTAGGAAAAAGTGCAGTGGAATTCTCTAGTGTTTTGCCTCATAGTTGTCAACCCTTCCTCATTAGAAGGGAAACTCACTCATTTTGACAAAAAGTTACCAATCTCCCTCGAAACTCCTTAATTCAAGTACAAACTCACACAAACTCAAAATGTAGATCCTGTGGTCATTGGTTACCTAGTTACTGCAGGGTGTGTAATGATCGTAACAGGTGTGTCTGAATCAAATGATCTCCTAGTTACTGCAGGGTGTGGGTAATGATCATAACAGGTGTGTCTGAATCAAATGAATGCTTTTTGGAGTTATTTTGATACATAAAAAAGGATAGATAAATTGTGCAAAGTCGTTTCAGTTGTGTTTCACACACCTTCTCCCTCATTGGAAATGTGGATTAGGAAGATCTACCTCATTGGAAATGTGGATTTAGGAAGATCTACCTCAGTGGAAATGTGGATTTGGGAAGATCTACCTCATTGGAAATGTGGATTTAGGAAGATCTACCTCATTGGAAATGTGGATTAGGAAGATCAACCTCATTGGAAATGTGGATTAGGAAGATCTACCTCAGTGGAGGTTTCAGAGGTTCACACCTATGTTGACTGCATTAGGAGGGGTAGGGATTCTAAAGGTCAAACAATATTATTGAAGGTCGTTCCAGTGTAAGGTATGTAGGGGCTGCTCTGTCGTGTCTAGAGGAGATGAGATAGCCCTATGTTGCTCCACTCTGTAACAATGATGACAATTCAAAGGTCGATTTTTATTATCCAAGGTCAT